TAAAATGTTTTTGGCCGTCCGCTGTCCCGGCTTTTCTCCGAGACTACTAGACCGATTTTTTTCAAATTTGGAATCAAAGTCAGAGGTCACCCGAAGATGATCTTCCTAGATTGACATTATTATCCGCCCTTTTCTTCCAAGATGGCGGCCGAAAAACCTGTGTTGGTATAAATTAATGAATGTACCAATGTTCAATAAAACTTAACTAAAGCCTTCTCCTTGATGACCTTTAAATGTATCTGTATAACGTACTTCAACGAAAAGAAGCTGGAAAATTACATTTTCATGGATAGTAAAATTACAATTTCCGAATAACTCATGAAGTATACAATTTTTTGTCAAAGGGTTGGTCCACGGGCGGATCTACGGGAGGGGGGGACTTTCGGGATGAAGCCTCCCCCCCCCAAAATGGTAAAATGTAACCATATTTTACAGAAAAAAATACTTTATACTATCTCTTAAAGTATTCTTGTTGGTGTAATTACGTTTAATAGGACTTCAAGAACCACTTAAACACCATTTCATATAGATAATTAATTAATTTCTTTTTTTTCAAATTAATTATCGTTATATAAAACTACTCGATCCTCTCCAATCTGGTTTCCGACCTGGCTTCTCCACACAATCCGCCCTACTAAAAATTACCAATGACTTACATACCGCAATGGACGAAAAAATGTTAACTGTATTAATACTTCTCGACTTTTCCAAAGCTTTTGACTCCTTAGACCACTCTATACTCTATACTAAATTAAAATCTCTATCCTTCTCCAACAGCTCTATCCTCTGGTTGCAGTCTTTCCTATCCGACAGAACTCAAGCAGTCAGCATTCCAAACCAACCCCTATCTTCCTTTCTTACACTGTCCTCTGGAGTGGCCCAGGGTTTGAGCATTTCCCCTCTCCTTTTCAACTCCTACATAAATGATCTTTCCAAATCCATCTACCACTGTTCACATCATTTATACGCTGATGACACCCAAATATATTTTTCCTTTCATCCTTCTGAGCTACTAGTCGCGTTCGCCAATATTCAGGCTGACCTAGATAGGATCAGTGCCTGGGCAAGTCTGAATAATTTAAATCTAAATGCGATGAAAACTCAGGCCATTATTATAGGTTCCAGTCCTATTCTTAAATCCATCTCCTTCCTTCCTCCTTTAGTCATCAACGATCATCCTGTCACATTCAGTTCATCCGTTAAAAACCTAGGAATCACCATAGACGAAAACCTCTCCTGGAAACCCCATATTGCCCTCATCTCCCGTAAGTCAATAGGTACCCTTAAGCTATTTCATCGCTCCCGCCACCTACTCCCACAACCCATCCGCAAGCTCCTTATATCCTCTCTCATTTTCCCCCACTTTGACTACGGCTGTGTGGTGAACGGAGGCATCCCGATGGTACTCGAGGATAGATTGAAGCGACTCATGAATACGTGCTTAAGATTTGTCTTCGGTACATCAAAGCGATCTCATGTGTCCCACCTTTACGACGAGTTAAAGTGGCTCTTCCCTTCTTTCCGCAGACAATATTTCCTCGGATCTTTCCTATTCCAAACAATCAACACTAGACACCCTTCTTACATCTACAGTCTCCTACCCGTTTAAACCCGTGGTCCACTCCCAGAAAACAAGATCCCGTGTTTCCGACCTTTGTATCCCTTCCCATAGAACTAAGACGTTTGAATATTCCTTTATTTCCCGATCCACAGCCTTCTGGAATTCCTTGCCATCTGAAATCCGTCATGCCTCTTCCTTGTCCTCATTTTTTTTTTTAAATTTCTTTATTGAGTATTATAACAATCTGTCTGTTGGACATTGGTTATAGTGAGGTAGGATGACATTCACACCATATGTACAAAAAAAATAAAATAAATAGAACAAAATAATAATCAAAAGTATATACAATAGACAATAAAATAAAATAACCTAAAAAATAAGAAAATTAAAACTAAGGAAAAAAAAAATATATCATGCATACCTATATACAATCAGGCGAGGGAACTCCAGGAGAACCCTGCGCTACTCTTCCAACCGCGTCACTGGTACTAAAGCCAGCGGAGATTGGTCGAGAGCACTTTAGCCACATACACACATGTCTTGAGTGAAGAATCTCGCCATTGCCAGAACTCCAATTTATATAATCTACAAAAGGTCGCGAGGCCACTGCCGTTTCAACCTTCTTGGAGGATTATAGGGATGGGAGATGCTTGATAGGGATTGTGCAAGAGGATTTGGGTGGTAAGTAAGGTTCTGGTGAAATTTGGAGAATTTTTCTGGGATAAGGTCTAGGACAAATGGGATGTTAAGGTCATGATGTAGGGTTTTGTTGGATACATAGAAAGGAGCATCGACTATTGTTCGAAGGACTTTAGACTGGAAGGATTGGATGCGCTTGATGTTAGAAAATTTTGCTGATCCCCACAGTTCTAGTCCGTAAGTCCAAATAGGTTTCAGTATTGTCTTGTAGATCAGTAGCTTGTTTTCAATGGAAAGTTTAGATTTTCTGCTTAGTAGTCGGTATAGTTGGCCGTATCGTCGGTTGAGTTCTTGTCTTTTGAGTCTAGTATGTGTAATGTAATGGAACAATTGAGGGGACTTAAGCCGCTGTGGATAAAGAAATCAAGAAGATCAGGATTACGGTTGGGATCTGTGGGCCAGTAGGTAGGAGAGTTGGGGGAAAGGAGGTGAAAACGTTGGGAATTGAGTGCAGACAGCAGGGTTCGGCCACGAGAATTCGTGGTTCTGGAACCCCATTGTTGGTGCTTGGCATTTAGGTCTGCACCCAAGATGAAGTGATGTCCTAAGGAGTCGAGGAGAGAACTGAATTGGGCATTGGATATGGATCGGTTAGGAGGGCAATACGCTGATGCAAGAGTGACCGGAAAGGAGAAGGTTTTTATCACGATAGCGGTGGACTGTAGGAAATCATGTATTGGTAATGGGAGTACGTGATGGGAGAGGGATTGGTGTACAATTACAGCAGTACCGGCATGTGCTTTTCCGTCAGGGTGGTCAGTACGATATGTCAGGTATTGTGGTATATTGAAGTGCTGTTTAGTGGTTAGTCGAGTTTCAGTAATTAGTGCCACATCAATGTTCTTGTCAAGTAGTAAAGTAGATAGTTCGTCTGTATGATTTCTAACACCATTCGCATTCCAAAGGAGAATGGATATGGGTTTAGGGATGTGAGTCATTTAAGGATTTTTCAAAGGAGGGATGAGGTGAGATACGAGATTCGTGAGGAGTGATATGAGTGGAGTAACAAGGGATTTGAAATCGGTGAGGAAAGATGCTAACAAACTTGTGAGATCTGTTGCATTTGAAGGAGGAGGAATATGAGGAATTTGTTGTTGGTGGTTAGGTATATTAGGATGAAGAGGATTTTGAGGTTGGGTTTGAGGTTGTTGTTGTGGCAGGGCTTGACATTTATCGGTTAAAGTCTTACCTCTAAGTAGTTGGGAGAATGATACATCATTGTTTACAATTCTGGAAGGCTCTCTCTCTCTCCTTGTTCTTAGTGCTTCATCTTGAATCCGGTTTTTCTGGTGTCTGGTTTTGAGATTCTTGTAAATTTGGCAGCCTTTGTAGTTGGCCGGGTGTCCCTCCAAGCATAGGGCACATACTGCTGGATCTTGTATAGGTTTGTTGCACTCTACAGATTTGTGCTGTTCACCGCACTTCACGCAACGCGGCAGATGGTGGCAATATGTCTTCGTGTGGCCATAGGTCTGACAATTATGGCACTGCACGATGTCTCTCTTGGGATATGGCTTCTCAACTTTCACCATTGTGTAGTATATTCTTGTGATATCATATATTTTTTTCGATACCTGGTGATGGCTCCAAGTCCACGAAAAACAATGGTAGTGGGATCCTATTTCGTAATTCTGGCTGCTCCCTGTCCTCCTTCAAAACGTTTGTTACCTGGCGTACATTGAAACCAAGCGTCGTTAGTTCTTCTTTAATAACTTCAGTGGGGGTTGAGGAATGTAAATTTCTTATCACTACTCGTAAAGCTCTTTCCTGCCTCAGCTGGTAAGTGTGAAAATTCGCATTTGTTTCTGATAAGTACTTCACTATTTTTCGGTAGGCTTCTGCAGAATCAGGTGTTATTTTGGTGTCATTGGTCCTGTTAAGGCATGAATAACTGCCAGAGCAGATTTTATTTAGTTGGGTGCAGAACATCTGGAAATTTTTTATATTTTTCACAAATATCGGAGGAGGCTTTGGTTCTCTGGGTATTGCTGCAGACTCCATTACTTCTCTGTCATTTTGAAGCACTTGGTAGGGGTTTGGAGTAAAGAAAGGTGATTCTTCAATCGTTTCTTGTGCAGACGTACCTGGTTGGGGCTGAGGTTCTGGTTCTGAAGTGTTCATCTTGGTCACTGGAGGTATTTCTCGTTGTCCTCATTTAAATATCATCTTTACCAATTCCTTCTCACATCCCAAAATGACGTTATACAATAAAATAAATATTGTGAAACAGATTTTGACTGAGGTGAATGATTGATAAAATTTATTGTATTAATTTTAAAAATCAACCCATGCTTATTTTATTTTATTTTTATTTTCATTTAAATAATGTTGTTTTTTTTATTCCGTTTTTTCTCAAAATTTTATTTTATTTTTACTTGTTTTAATTTAATTTCACTGAAGATACTGTATATATTCTTTAATATTGATTAATGTAATTTTTGGCCAGATGTAGTTTTAATTTTTTTGTTCATATCTGTTATTCATAAGGGACCTTGTCCCAGAATAAAGTTTACTTTCTATCTATCTATCTATCTATCTATCTATATATATATGAAAAAAAAAACTGTCGGGCTGAAGCCCCCCCCCCAAAACTAAATCCTGGATCCGCTAGTGGGTTGGTCTATAAGGTTCAGTAACAGAGATACATAGAATAATCGATATGTTTATCCCCAAGTCCTAATAAAAATGATAAGCTCAAATAAATGAACGTTAATTTTTCTAAACTGCTGGTTGTTTTCAGGCTTACTCTTCGCTAGGGAACAGGAACATCGTAGCAGTCGAATGGGGAGATCTAGCGGCTGCTCCGTTCTACCTCTCGGCGGCCAAGAACACCTTTCCGGTCGGCAAGATCCTCGCCAAGTTCTTCAACAGCATGGTCAAGAGGAAGCACCACTCGATGAAGATGACGGAGATCATCGGGTTCAGCCTAGGAGCTCACGTCGCAGGGATAGCTTCATCGTTTCTAGTTTCCAAGCCGAAGAGGATAGTAGGTAAATTCCAAACAAATCTTATCTGGCCTACGGAGTAGAAGAGAAATAAGCCACAGTTCGAATAACGAATAAATAAAAATATATTACATTTCAAATAATGATTAATTTATCCATGTTTGTTGAAAAATTGGAGTGCTGCCAATGGGTAGTTTCTCTTCATGGTGTACATGTCATCACAGATGGATCTACGGGAGGGGGGGTGCGGCTTTCGGGCTGAAGCCCCCTCACAAAATGATAAAATGTAACCATGTTTTATAGAAAAAAAATATTAAAAACTATCTCTTAAAGTATTATTGTTCGTGTAATTACACTTAATAGGGCTTCAAGAATCATTTAAACACCATGTCAAATAGGTAGTTAGTTTCTTCCTTTTTTTTCAAATTAATTATCCTTATATATAGGAAAAAATGTGTTTAGTCCATGATATAAAGTGCCACTGCCGGTCAGTCGATTTTGACGAAAAATTTACCGTAACCTCCTTAGCATATAAAAACCTTAAATATGCAATTTCAAATTCGTACGACTTTTCGTTTTGGAGCTAGACTGTTAACACACACACATTACTTTTATTGTAAATATACAATTTAATTGTAGCCACACAGACATATAATATGTATTCATATTTTGTTCTTAAGGGACAACAGTCCCAGAATAATAAAACATTTTTTTCATTTCATTTCATTTTCATTTCATTTCATAGACCACTTTGCGGGACTTGGTATTTGGAGTCAAGGGATCTCAAAACGTGTATTTCCGTTGAATACTGAGATTCAAAAATTTTCACAATCGCAATACTTTCCTTTACTCACGGGCGGATCTACGGGAGGGCTTTCGGGCTGAAGCCCCCCCCCCCCCCTCAAAATGGTAAAATATAGCCATATCTTATCGAAGAAAATATTAAAAAAGTATCTCTTAAAGTATTATTGTTTGTGTAATTACATTTAAAAGGGCTTCAGGAATCACTTAAACACCATTTCATACAAGTAGTTAGTTTCTTTCTTTTTTTCCAAAGTAATTATCGTTATTTTTGTAAAAAAAAAACAGCTTTCGGGCTGAAGCCTCCCCCCCCCAAAATGAAATCCTGGATCCGCTAGTGCCTTTACTATATATTTCATATATAGGTAAGTGAAAGAAAAAAAACCCTTTCGGGCTGAAGCCCTTCCTAAAAAAATTAAATCCAGGATCCGCTAGTGCATGTCATATTAACAATTCAAAATTACTTGTTGTATTTGTTAACTAATACAGTTGTAAATTTCAATAAATATATTCATAATAATATTTTTTGTAAAGTAAACTGTTTATCAATAAAAAAATATGTATTTAATAGAAATAAATTTATTGAATAAGTGATAATTCCAAAGATATATAAAACTTATTTTTTGTCACTTATACCTGTTTGATTTTTGGGGTCTTATATAATAATATAATTTATCACTGACGAAGAAAGCAAATTCAGTCAAATTCCCTAGTCCTCCATCTTTGGACGCCATTTTGACAGTGCAGCTCAGTTTTATTTATCACTATATTTTTTTTTTTTTAATTTCCCTCTTTTTTTGCTCAGAACGAACTTGTAAATCGTTTCTACCCAAATATATACAAAATAATACGTGATATTACATGTTACTACTCATTTTATGTCAGTTTTACTTATATTATTTAAAAAAACTAGATTAATATATATTAAAAAAAAAAGTTCAGCACCTCCAAAAAAATCTCGAATCCATTTCTGCAACTTATTGAGAAGTATGAATTCATAATATTAATTTAAATATAAAATTTCATTAAAATAACTTAAAGTATTTAAATTATTTATTGAGTGAATGTTTTGTGCTTAGATTATTTATTACAGATATAAGTCAAAACACTTTTAAAGATCAAAAGGAGTGGATTAAGCATTAAGCAGGCTAGGCAGTCATGTATGGTCCCTAAAGCTTCAAAATATCTTAACTTAAAGGTAACCGAAATCACCATAAAGTTTTTTAAAAAATCTAAAATAAATTTATTGAATCATATTAAAAACAAAATTTGAAATTTATGATTGTTAAGTTGTATTATTTAACTATTATTCTGCATTCTCCAAAGGTAAAGTATACATCTTATTTCATTGAAAGAGATAGAGAAATGACTGGGACAAAGTCCCTTAAGAATAACAAATGTTACAGAATAATACTTCTGGTCAGGTGAACTAAATTAAATAAATAAAATGTCTTATGTAAATCAACAAAATATACAAAAAAAACTGATGAAACTATATACAAAATGTTTAAAACTATATACAATTTATTTATTATTATTTTTTTGAGGGCCTCCAAAATATTCACCACTCAGGACCAGTCTTCTTATTCCGCTCTTGATTATAGATGATTTTTTTTTTTCAATTTATAATTTTAATTAAGTAACTATTATACTTTTTCAGCAGTAAATTTTTTAAAAATATATTTTGCAATGATTATGCATGTGGTTTTGATTTTTTATATACTTACTCTAATATGTATGAGTATGTCTTATCGCCAGAAATGATTTTTGTTTATGTATATGAGATTCTTGATGGATTGGTCAAAGTATAAAATATTTTTTATCCTATTTTATTAAATTTTCAATCCATGAAATGACAATTGAATCGTTTTATGGTTAAATAATTTAATTATTTCAGGTCTGGATCCTGCTGAGGTTCTGTTTGCGGAATCGCCATTAGAATATATTTTGGACAAGGAAGACGCACCTCTTGTAGAAATTATTCATACTTCGGGTGGCTTCTTAGGTTTCAAGAGACCACTTGGACACAGAGACTTCTATCCTAATGGAGGTAAATAATGTTTGCTAAATTTATACTTTAAAAATTAAAATAAAAGTTATATAGGCAATAGCCAATGAAATCGTGTAACTCCATCACTCCAGATAAAAACTAAATATTACTAATGTCGGAGCTCTGTGTATAATGAGAGAGTTGAAAGTACATAAATATATCTACTCAATTTGGGTAAAATACTTGGTGCTCGGTACTCAGAGTAGCATTTGCCCATCTCTGATCATAATGGAAATGCAACATGTCAAATAGAAACTATTTATGAGGTCTAATATAATATTAGTTAAACTAAGAATCAGGCCTATGTCAAAAATAAACAAAAGATATTATATAATTAATTAATAATGAAGTTTTTTTTTTTTTAATCATTGAAATTTATAACTGTATTAAATGATACATACAACTAGTAAATATGAAATAAGTAACATGACATGTACAACATGAAGAGAAACTACCCATTGGTAGCACTCCAATTATATTTCTATATTAGAAGGTCCCGAGGCCATCTTCTTTTCAGACGCCTCGGAAGGTTATCAGGAATAGAAGAGGAAGCAAGGTTGGAAACAAGAGGATTCGGATGGTCCAGAAGTTCATCCCATTATTATGGAAGGATAGGTATCTGGATTGAGCTAAATCTGAAACATTTGGTACATTAAGGTCGTTATGGATGATTTTATTTGTGACAAAGTAGGGAGCGTTGAGGATTTTACGAATATACAATGATGGATTGTAGGGATCAGATACGAGAGGAATTTGAAGGCCCCAAAGCTCGATCCCGTAAGTCCAAATAGGCCTTATTATAGTAATATATATGAGTCTTTTGTAAATAGTTGGAACTTTAGAGCATTTGTCTAGTAAGTGCTGCAGTAGTCTAAAACGTCGGGCGGTATCTAGTCGTTCAGTCTGGTATAGGGGTTCCAAGTGAGTCGTTTGTCCAAGTGGAATCTTAGGTATCAGATTTGTTCTACAGGGATAAGTGAGCTATTATTGAAGGATACTGTAGGACAGGAAGTCATAGATTTACGACGAAGAGTAAAGGTAATTTGATGGGATTTGTTGGAATTTATTTTAATCCTGAAGTTTTGACACTATTTTTCAAGACTTGTGATGTGTGATGCAAGAGTTTGGGATGCGATAGATGTATCGTTATTAACCGATAGGATATATGTGTCATCAGCATAGAGAATGAAGTTTAAAACAAAAAAAAAAAATTAAAATAATTGCAATTCCTGATTAATTTTTATTTTCTTGTTAATCCAATACTTTAATTCGAGTTTTTGCTTTTCACATTGTTTTTTCTCTCAAATTTTATTGAGAAATTGAAGTGAATGATAATTAATTTTTATTATGTTTATAAATAATTTTCTAATAGTGGTCCATTGTAGAGGAGTGGATAGAAAATACATATATTTTTTTTTATTAAGCATATTAAATAATAGAATCTTTATTTTATTGAAATGTACCAGCTGTATTGAAAAAAAAAATACAAAAACACTTGATCTTTATAAAATGACTTCACTAGAGAAACTACCCGTTGGTAACTCTCTAAAATAATTCATTTAGACCAAATTTTAATCTCCTACCATTCCTTGTTTAATTGTATTTTTTTTTTCAGGACTCTTTCCACAACCTGGTTGTCCTGGAGACATATCAGGACTTTGCTCACATCGGAGAGCTTACCAATATTTTGCAGAAGCTGTGAAAAATAGAGGATGGGGTTTCAAAGCAACAAAATGTGATTCAATGAAGAATTACACAAGTGGAAAATGTTCTGGATGTCCTAAGCTCCTTATGTCTAACAGTAACTATAATCCTGCTCTCAATGGGACGTTTTTCCTTTTCACGAATTCGCAACCACCATTTGGACGCAAATAGCGAAATATTTAAAACAATTCCAATGAAGTTTTTCCATGAAAAAATAATTGTTTATTCTTTTGACTGCAATGTTTATGTCAAAAGAGAATGGTTTTTGTTATTATATAACTAATAATTGAGGAGTTGTAAATGTTTAAAAAGTGGATATCTGTACTTTGACCAGCAAATATGAAAGCAGTACTAAAATAAAAACATTTTCTAAATAGAATAATAAAATGGAAAGATTGATTTTGCAAGCAAACTGATCACCAAATGGTGGAAAAATCAGTTATGATTGCCACTTTGTCAAAAACTCCTCAATTAATAAAAAGAAATGGCATTAAAACAAGCCGTATTGAATTAAACTTATGAAAAAGAATGGAGGCAGCCAATATATTTGAGGAATGGGAAATTTTTTATCTATGCTTTCCTTTAAATTATTTTGTCCTCAGAAAAATAATTACAAATGAGTAATATAACTGAATGATTGCTGAATGTTCTACCAATTCACTCATAAGATATATTTTTCAGCTTTATTAATTACATTATGTATAAAATAAATTAAAAGTTTATACAAAATTGACCAATTTATGAGTGTCAAAATACAATCTTAATAAAATTTAAGATGCTTTTTTTTTTGTTTAAATAATTGTTAAAGTTGCAATATAAAATAAAATGATTCAAACAACTTTTAGATTTTAATATATTTTTAAAAAATATAAATCTTAAGCAATATATAAAATGATTAACACTATGTTCCACCAATCTGATTAATCCCTCAGGCATGAGGTATTACGTCTACTATCAATAAACCAGCAAGTGTTCATGAACCAACACATTTCTTTAAAGAGAAAATAAATTGTAATGTGAAAATAATTTAACCTTTGTGGAAATACTTCAACATATCTGAAGCCCCCCAAAATGGTAAAATATAACTATGTCTTATGAAAGTAATATTAAAATTAAATTTAATAGAACTTCAAGAATCACTTTAACACCATTTTTTATAGATAATTAGTTTCTTTCTTCTTCTTTTTAAGTAATAATCATTATACATATAATAAAATGTGGGTATTATAATGGATAGCTCAGTGGTAAGGTACTGAGCTGCATATACTTAAGGTTCCAGGTTCGAATCCCGGCTCATGGCAGAAAAATTATTTATTTTGTTTCATTGGCCGAGGGGTGACCCTGGATAGGTAATATTAAACTCTCCTGGGGCACACCCAGCCTCTATAAAGTGGGTACCCTTAATTAGAATAATTAATTAAGGGGGAAAACCTGGCGGTGATCTCAGTCAAATCAGCTCCTTGCACAACCGCAGACCAAGAAACAATGCTTTTCCTAAATAGAAGTGAAACCAAGACCCTTCATGAGTTGCAATAGTACAGATGAATACTATACCCTCTCCTCAAAATTAAATCCTGAATCCATTAGTGAGGCTAAGTAACGTAAAGACAAGATAACGTTTTGGCCTTTTTCAAATATATTTACTGTACATATTTACATCAAGTGTCCACATTTTATTTGTGAACATTTTTTACTTGTAAATTTCATTCAGACAAAACATTTGTTGGTAAGGCAAGCATAGTAAGGTGTCACATATGGTGAAAATATGAATAGAGTGCAGATTAAAAATGTCAAATAGTTTTTCTGCATACAAAACAAGAAGGAAAAGTGTAGCTGCCAACAAATAACTTTTTGATTGTGGATTGATGGTTGACTGTAGTGAATAATGAAGAGAAGGATGGTTGGGATGATCAGTCAAAATAAAAATGGCAAAAATAAATAATAATATTTATTTTAACATTAGCCTACGTTTCGACCCAAAGTTCAGGCCTTCATCAGGGCTAAGAAAATAACTAGATAACACTAGGTATGAGAAACATAAACAATGTAGGTAAAACAAACTTAAAGTAAAATGAAGTAGAGAAGTGAACATTAAAGTAAAATAAAGCAGGTAGAGTAATGGCAATAAAATTTTAATTCAACAACTTTTAGTTTTTGTTTTTTTTTGTGTTTCAACCGCCTCCCGCAGTGCCACATCCAACGCCCTGAAGACGACCTGCAAAGTGGGTCGAAACGTCGGCAAAAATTAAAATTATTTATATATTTTAATTTTTTTTTTTTTTTTTTTGACCGCACCCTCGACTAATTCCTTCTCATATCATATCAACGGTCAACCAACTCTACATCATTATCAACAACTTTTAATTCAAAAATAACTTTTTGATTGACAAAATCAAAAGATTTATTTTATCTGGATGAAATTGATAAGTAATAATTCTACAAACAAAATGTAGACAGGTGGTGTAATTATTTACAATAAATATATTTGAAAATGGCCAAAAAGGCTGAAACATTTAATAAAATCTGTATTTATATAATGTTTCAAATTTAAAATAAAAGATTGTGAAAAAAAAAGGGTTTTAGTAAAAAAATAATCATATGTAGATTAAATATAATAATTATATACAAATTATTATCATTATTTTCATTAAAACTTATAAAACAAATAAAAACTGATTAACCTTAGGGTACCAACAATTGCTTGTAGTACTTCACAAATGTCAAAAAGCTTAAAAGGTTGGTAAAGATCACATCGATCAAACTGCCTCTTTAATCCCTGTAATATTTGTCTATAATACCTCAAGAAATCGAGTGTGTCCAAAAGTCAACTGATCTCTTAATTTCCTTAGAAATTAATTGTGGAAAGTAAATCACAAATTCAAAAGGACAATCTCCACTCACAAGGGCCCCAGCTTGGTAAAACTTATTATTTACATCTATAGCGAGTATAGTGTGGCCTACTGTGAGTGGTGAACCAATGAACATAGTTATCAATACTTGGTTACCATCGGATGTCTGTCTACAGAATGATGGACATGATCTTGACCAGATGTGACATTTGTGACTAGACCCAAATAATTTATTTTTTTCACAAACATCCGTATTACATTAACATATTGCAGTATTTTCCCGAAATAAGACCAAAATTTTAATTAAAAAATAAATTATATAACTTCTATATTATAAATTTCTCATTTTTTTTTTTTTAAGGTGGAGATAAATTATTATTTAATAATAAAATTTATAATATCGAGGAAAACACTTTATTTTACTCTTATATATTTATTCAATGCTTTAATTGATTAAAAATTTTTTGCAACGTTTCGGACAATTTTGCCTATTTTCAAGTCGAATATTTATATCTATAATGTAAATACACAATAATTATAAATATATATATATATAAAAAATATAACAGCACATAAAAGAACAATAAACGAAAAATTCAAAATATCATATCAATGAATCATGTCTCTACTAACATCTATATCTACTAATATAATTATTGCAAAATTTATCTCCTCGAAATCCTTTAAATCATTAAATTCATAAATTATTCATGAAAAGTCAATTCTACAGCAACTGTGATGCCATGATTAAAAACAAATTAAATTTGGAAATAAAGCAAGTCTATTGGGTTAAACATCTAATTAATAAAAGAATAAATGATATTTTAATATTGATTAAAATTAAATATAATAAATATTAGAATTATATATACAATTTTGTTACAAATGTGAAGAGAAGCAATAAAATATCACTATGAAATAAGAAAATTAATGATGATTAGAAGAGCCTAAAAACTTTCTTAGATAATAATAGAGAAATTATAGTAATTAAATCATACAAAACAAAAGAAATTAACAATAATGTATAGAAAAGATTACACTGGAAAATGGAGCAGTTATTAGATAGTAAGGTTTACCAAAAAATTAGAAATAACTCGGGTATTGACCAAGCCAAAAAAATAAATATTTATGTAGGAAATATACAAAAATTAAGAATGATTGATAAATATACAAAAATAAAATTATCTGCTAGCAAATATGATCCAAGAATACATGGTTTAATTAAGTTGCGTAAACCTAAAAAAAGTCTTGCACCAATAATAGATAATATAGATGGACCAACGGACTAATATTAGATTGCTTAACTGAGTTAAAAAGTTATGATGTAATTAATGCAAAGTAAGTAACAGATATGTTAAAAAGTTTAAGTTTGGGCTAAAACATTCAATATAACATCAGTAGTTTTGATGTAAAAGAATCTTCACAAATGTGCACATTGATGAAGTTATCAAGACCATAGAAGAAAATTGGAATATTATTATCAAACACATGAATATAAATAATACAATGGTCTACATAGAAGGCATAAAATTATGCATTCTAAATAATTATTTGAAATTTAATGATAATTACTTTGAAATTATAAATGGTCTCACAATAGGAGGTAGATTGTCCGTGGCACTTAGTGGCTGTTATCTAAACAAAATCATTAATGAGCAAGTTGCAAAGATGGTAGAATAATTAACGTTAATTACAAAATACATATATGACTTATTAATAATCATAAAAGAAAAACAAGATGAAGAATTATTAAATTTATTGAAAAATGTTAATACAAAAATATTTACTGCTGAAAAACCTATTAACAACAAAATAAGATAGCTCGATATAAATATATTTGACAAAAATAAAATAGAGACATTTTGGACAAAAAAAGAAAATAGTAGCGATAGAATCCTTAATTATTATTCAAAATCATTAAATATTTAAAAGAAAAAAAACTGAAATTTTTAAAATTTTGGGTAATAATTTTTATCCCTAAAAACATATAAAAAGGCTTTGGTATGAAAGTTATCAGGAGATAAATAACGCTAAAAATAAAAGTAATAAATGCCTTAATGAGAAAATAACTAAAAAATGCTGTAATAATATTGATAAAAAAGTGTTATAACTAAAAAAACAAAAAAGAGATTTGATAAATGATTTTATTTTAAAACCATCAAAAATAACAATAAAAATAGTGTAGAAAAAAAATAAAAATGGGACACAAAACATGATGAAAATAAGTAGTTTTTTAAAATTAAAATATATACCAGGAATAACAAAGGCAATTAAACATGCATTAAAAAATATGGTCATGATTAAAAATATATAAACTAATATGAAGGATAAGATTAAAAGCAAGAATAAACAAAATGTAATTTATAAAATTAATTGTAAACAATACACAAATAAATTGAGAAAACATTTCAAAATTTACACAATAGAATCAATCAGTATAAAATAAATACCAAAAACCCAAAAAATATCAATGTCACAGCTGTAGCAAGGCATAGTATTATGAATAATCATATTTTTGATTATGATAAAATCAAAATTTTAAATAGTGCTGAAGATAGTAAAATAAAGAAGTTTTTGGGGTCTATTTATATAACTAAAAATATTTAAAATGTTGAGGAGTGAGGAAAATATGTAGCGTTGGAGTAATTTTAAAATTATTTTTAATTTTTTGACTGTACACAGGTAATTTATAGAATCGAATTTTAAAGTATTAAAAAAAAATCTTTTTAAGCCTTATTTGTGTTTTCTTGTATGTTTCTTTTCAGTTGTTTTTAGAATTGACTATTCATGAATGATTTATGAATTTTATAATTTGAAGAATTTTGA